GTTCAAAGGCGCAAGCCTATTTTTCCCTCAAATATACTGACTGACTGACATATATATATACATATATATGAATATAATTTAATAATCAGAAGTGCAAGTACAGGAATGAGATACCGGACAGGCTGGACACTAACGGTGATCGGACATATTGGGGACCCATACGGACGACAGAGCGTTCCGCCTCTAGACGGATTGTTCGATGTGATACTCCTGTTTGTGCTTCAGGTCAAATACATTGGACAGCCATCTAGCTGGTTGGGCTGTCGCAGAAGATTCCACCATGCATTAGGGTACCGGAACAGATTTAAAATAAATCTATTTTGCACATAATAGGTTCATCCAGACTATCAAGCGACTCCAATTGGTCTGAATAAAGTGATCGAGAAAGATTTTATCAGCCTATCAATCTGGAAGCGCTAACCGGCAGGATAACTTCAACATTGGCCTTCAAAAGGACTCACGCTCTCTCAACACATGAGAAGAGCCGAAAGCCAGACCCGTTTTTGACAGGAGTTTGTTTATTTCCTTTTCGTCCTCCAGCATCAGCGCTCGCATGCGTCGTTGTCGAAAGAGCAAAATGGCCGGATTCAGGCGGTTCATTTCCTTGGTCGCAGTGGTGCACAGGCCTCTGGCGCAGGTGGAAATCGATTCTACCTCTCTTTCCTCAAAGAGCACCGTCTTCGGCACTTCTGCTATGGACGCTCTGTTGAAATATTCGGGGTGATAGGTCCAGTGGTTGCTTTCCCCGTTGAGGACGTCGCGATATGGCGGATAGGGGCCCCGCCAACTCTTGTCTATCCGCTTGGTCCATGTCTGGTTGCAGTTTTTATCCTTCTGTGCCCTACACTTCGTTTCCGTTGTCATTCTGCCAGCGCGTGACACGAGAATTTATTGATTTTGTTTGAATCACGTGTTCGCGCCTTTCTGTCCCTGTCACATGATTGGCTGTGAGAGTGGGATAGCTATTTCTGGTTTGCTTTGCAATCTTTGATTACGCCTGCTTGCATTATCCCGGATAGCTATGGACAGCGAATTGATGGTGAATTTAGAATTAAGCAGTTTTGCGAATAGGGGTATGGGTTCAATTTTAGGGGTGTTGATCTAGGAATTGGGTTTTTGGATTCGGACAAGGGTTAATATGTCTGCATAGTGAAAGGATTTGTGTCGGGATGGCGCGCACGACGACAAGTAGAGAGCCAATGCGGAGCAATGACAGCTGCCCCTTAACTAGCAAGGCTGCTAGCAGAACGGCACTCTGTTGTTGTTGACGCTGA